CCCCGGGCCTGTGCCAGCTCCCGCTGCTGCCGCTTGCGGCTCTGGATGTCCCTGTAGGCCTGGATGACACGGGCTCTCTCCTCCTCCACGATGCGCCGGCGAGCCATGGACATGGGTGCTGCTGGGGACACCTGGGTCTGGCCCAGGCAGGATGACAGGAGGAGCTGCTTCCGTCCAGCCTGTAGGCAGAGATGGAACAGGTCAGGGAGGATGGAAAAAGCCAGGACAGGGCCCTGAGGAAATGTCAGCAGGAGGCAGAGGCCATCACTGCCCTTCCAGGCCTGATTTCCAGCCCAAGGGTGGTGATACAAGCCATGTCCAGCCCCAACCTGCAGGTAGGTACCCAAGGCCACAAAGGTGGGGCAGGTGGAGTCACCCCCCCCTCAGCTCACCTGCTCGGCAGGACCCCGGCCCCGTGGCCGTGAGGTGATGGTGGGTGGCTGTGTGACCACCTCCCCAAACGCCACCGTGTCTGCGGGAGAGAAGCTGGCATCAGGCAGGAGCCCCCCAGAACTGGGGAGTCCACCCTGCTGCACCAGACCCACCTTGGAGCAGGCTCTTCTCCAGCATGGCCTCTTTCTTCTCCTCCTTCTTCTTCCGAGCTTTTTCCAGCTTCTTATTCTGAAACCTGAAGGGCTGCGTTGTGAGTTCCTACCCCAAACCTCCCACCCCCCCAACAGGTCTGTGACTCCACTCCCAGAGATCCAGCCCCATGAGAGGCCCACAGCCCTCCACCAACCCCCACTGCTGCCAGACCTGTGCTGCAGCACCAGCAGAGCACCAACACGTGCCCAGAACCAGAGCAGGGCACAGGCTGAGCAGAGCCAGCCCCAGCCACCACCATGGCCTTGCTCTCACTCTTTTTTCCTCTTGGACTTCTCCGGCGCCATCCCCTGCTTCTCAGGCTCCCGCTGGTGCTGGTTCTTGGAGAGGAACAGCACACGCTGCACCTCCTGCTCCATGCGGTGGATGTAGGAGCGCTCTGACTCCCCCTTCCCCCTCCTGAACTTGGGCACTGGGATGTCTCCCTGTGCCTTGGGGCCCTTGGACTTGGGCTGCTGCTTCTTCTCTAGGAGAGACGGGTGACATTACTGCAGCAGTGACAAACTGGGACATCACCCGGGGGAGCAGGATGCCCCCCTGCAGGATCCGGCTGCCTCCAGCTGCCCCGCGGCTCCTGGGCAGGCTCCAGGGAGCCCTGCCCCTGCGGGCCCCGCCCCGCGCCCCACCTGCCGCCCGCCGCTTCCCGGGGCCGGGGCGCTTCATGGCCTCGCGGCTCTTGATCAGCTCTCGCAGGCGGAACGGGATCTCCTGCTCGTCGGGGTGCTTGGGTTTCATGTTGACCACCTTCTCCTTCCTGGGAGGGAATGAACACGGTGTGAGACCTGCCTCAGAGCACCGGGAGCCTGGCACGGCGGGACACCGGGACTCAGGCAAGGTGGGATGTGGGAGCAGCGGGACACAGCGAGCCGGGCACTGAGACCCAGGCACGGAGGGACATGAGAACC